GTAGACTTTTGATTGGTCAAAACAAATAAAGGAGGCTTTTATATGTAGTGTTTGATACCTTCTTCAAAATTTCAACATGTATATATATTCACTAGTCATAATCACTGCTCAATCAAACATCCTTCCACTCGTGTGACAAATCAGTGAGTAAGTTTTAAAGCATCCCACTCTCTGAGTCTTTCTCTCGGAAGCCAAAACTTAAGACATTCACTATCGATTAGAGTATCTCCCACACTTGGCATGTTAACTTCTAATTTCTTTGATCGTGACTACTTCTCTTCAAATCTCCACCTTTTTTTTCCTAGTTAACTCCATTGCGGTTCTTGAGCAAATCACTAAGCTCTTAAGACACCTTGAAAACTTCCAATACACATCCTTGAGTTTTCTCACCCACAAAACATTTGTGAATATATCTTGAGTCTATACTTTCACAATGCAAGTCATGTGAGCCTAGTTTCAGGCCCAAATTTAGAGCTTAGCACCAAAATCACGGCCCGTATTGGGCCCATAATGCTCATATACTCTTTTTTGTTGTTGTTGTGTGTGTTTCAGTGAATGTGTGTATGGAAAATTGCCAACGAAATGAAAATCAATCTAAGAGTCCATTTTCCATGGACTATCGTCTAAATTGTCCTTTTCCAAAAGAGTTCACAGGTGTTATCTGATGACTCGACTCGACACACCACATCAAACTGATTGAGACCACTATTTCGAATATGCCCATTTTCTTATAACACACATGATTCGAAACTCATCATCAGAAGTTCAATCAGAAACAGAACCACGAAGCAAATAGATTCAAATCTCAAGGCGTCTAGTTTTACAGATAAACAAGCAACGAGACTCCAAGATTCATAAGAAACCAAGACCAGCAATTTTCATTTTAATTCATTGAATTTTGAAACCCCAACATCGAACATGATCACATCACATCAACATTGCCCAGAAGAAACTGATCAAATACAGAAGAAAAAACCCCAAATACTTAAAAACAAACAAGGAAGTTTTTTGTTTTTTTCCCTTCAAATCCTCTGGACTTTATCCGCCTTAACAACGGGATTCGCCTTTGCGATTGCATCGCGTCCGACTTCTTTGAAATCGAAGCTACACTCGTGCTTCTCCGGGTATCTATGACTCCCGCAAAACGTGCTACCGCATTTGCACTTAAACCCCATGACTCCAACCTTCTTGTTACAGCTGAAACACCTGTTAGGCCGTGTAGGCTTCGACGGCTCTGCCTCGTCCTGTCCCGTCGCTAAAGGAACCGAAGACGGCTCAGAGGTTACAACAACGGTCTCCACAGAGACTGGTTTAGTTTCCAGAGGCTGTTTTTGTTCTGGTGTTGTTATGAGACTGCAAGATGGAAGCTTTAAAGAGTTCTTAACCGCAGCTTTCGCTACTGCGGTTTGATCTTCCTCAGCACGAAGGCTTCGATAACATTTCGAACAGAGGTTCATGTTTGATGGTGAACCGAAGAAACCACATCCGTTATTGCAGAGCTTTGGCTCTGATGGTGGAAAGCTTGTGCTGTTGTTTTGCTCAGAACCCATTTGTTTTGTTTGTAATCTCTTCTTCTTCTAAAATCTATTTCACCTTCATTAACACACAAAGAAACACAACAATAACCATTAATTCAATACGATTCAATCCAGCTTCCATTAAGATCATTTTCGATACAACTTTCCACAAATCAAAACACAGAATTTTGTTTTAAAGATTGTCCTTTGATTCAGAAGATGAT